ACTAGCTGCCTTTAGAGCCATCATCTCGGTTGACTTCGTCCACACAGCGTAGATCCGGGTCCTCTGGGGACGGTAACAAATCGCTGGGCAAGGCGCACGCCGGCGCCTGCTGACCTACTTCCAGGACAATGGCGCCATTTGCCGCCCTCTGGCAGACTTGCGCCGGCCTCGGATGCATAACCCCTCCCCCACAACACTGTGAAAGTGGTGGTGATGTTGCTGGTAGTGGCGGTGATGATGCTGGTGGTGATTCTGCTGCTGGTGCTGGTGCTGGTGCTGGAGGCGATGATGATGATGATGATGATGATGATGATGATGATGATGATGATGATGATGATGATGACAATGATGGTGACACCTCAGCCCCATACTCCACAGCAGAGAGCGGGCTCATCACTGCATGGTGAAGCCTGTGGCAATGCATCGGCACCAAACAAGTTGTTCGTGGTAATTCTGCAAACTGGCCCAGGTTTAGACCAAGAAGCTCCTCCCGCCAGTCCCCTCCAGGCGGTCCAGGCGGTAAAGGCGGTGCGGGCGGTCCGGGCCGATGGTCTTTGCATTTGTGTTGGCAAGCGGCCTTAGCCGCCTTGGCCGTGGCACCCCAGCCCTGCACTTCGGCGCTCGCTGCAGCGCCGGCGTAGATGGCCGCAGTCGTCAAGTTCACGTCCTTGGAGAAGCCTGTGTCGACTGAAGCTCGCGATCGCCAGGACGCCCAGGAGAGCCCGGGGCAGGTGGTCTGCTCCTTGGCGTCTCCCGATCTGCTCGCGGCGGAAGCGGGGCGGGAGGTGGCCTGACAGCAGGCCAACCAGAGAACGACATGAGAGGCACCCCAGCCTTCCGGGCCGAGCCGCAGGGTGAAGCCTGAACCTTCAAACGAGACACGTGAAGCTAGCCAGCCAAACGAGCTCCAGCCTGGAGACCGACGTCCTTGTCCAGATCCTTTGCAAAGCTCTGACTTGCATTCTCCAAACAAACTCCCCCAGCCTTCTCCCAAATGTCTGGAGGTGCTTCCTGTGTTCCAGTGATCATGCGTATGACACGCTGCACGGGTCTCGCCTTGGAACTGCTCCGGAGGCTGCCATCACCTGACACGGCAGAAGTCCAACCAATGTCTCTGTTCACTCGGATGTCGCCAACCAGAGTTGGGCTAACACCTCGTTTACACACGTGTTGTGAGCCAGCTTTATTTCAACCACCGTGACATGCTTTCCTTTGAACTTTGCCCAACCTTGACAACTCAGAACTTTCCGGGCGAAACCACTCTAAGAGTCCAGCTGCAGCTGCGACTTCGCCGGATACCATGAGAACCTGAACCAAAATCACGGATGGCAAATCATACGCCTGGAATCCAGGTCCAGATCAATTTTATGATGAGAGACCATCCGCGTGCGGAGGGCCTCCAGCAGGTCCAGCCGAAATCGAGGATGAATCCTGCCTCGGCGAAATAACCTTCCGAAAATCCGAGCCCGGGTCTTTGGATAGTCCCCTACCCTGTTCCGCAAGGCTCGAACGCTGGCTCACGCCTTGGCGCCTGGCATGACTCACAAAAATCAGATGGGCTGACAACGTACATGGCAATAGTCAAAGCAAAGTACATGCAGAGTAAGAATGAACCACAAGCATGTTGATGATTCTTGGTCTGCAAGTCAACTGTTTCACAAATGCAAGCGACCCACGAAGCCGTAGCCACCTCTCGCTTCTTCTCACTCGGTCTCAACCACGCATTCTCCTTGGTGTGCTGCTTGCTCTCATTCACCGCGCCATCTCCGGTTCACACATCGACATATTTTTGCTGGAACCTGTTGGCCCATCATGCATCCGTTGGCTTATGATGCATCCCTGAAGCCTTGGAACACTAAGCCGCTGACAGAGCCCGGGATCCTGCCAGCTGAGCCAAACACCAAAGGAATCGCTGTTCACGGTGCAAGCCTTGCATCCGGCAGGTTGACTTTCTGTTCGCGCTTGCCAGCCTCAAATCAGCAAACAGGGCTCAACGAGGGGTCAAGATTCACAGTATCCTCCTTTGCATTGAAAGAGACGTAAGGCACGGTGGCTTTGCTGTTTTGAGTAGCAACCACATTTAAATCGGGAAAATCTGGCGCTTCCTGAACCTGTTCGGCTCTGTCACGTTCTGAGAGCACCAGGCCTTGCCATCTGCTTCATTTTGCCTCAAGGCCTGCCAATATTCCAGTTCCATGTCGCGTGTCAAGTGGGTTGCAAAAATTCACAAGGAAATCGTGGCAGAAGTGCAGCCAAGGCGATGCTTCGCAATTCTTGATTTTCTTGCTTCAACGTAGTCATTGCCTGCGTACTGGAAACAGATTCAATCGTCCCAGGATGTCAAGGTAGTCCATGTACATCATATAGGCTTGTGTTGCTGTTCGATCAAGCGCACTGGAAAGAAGACATGAGCAAGGCCATGGCAAACACATGATAATATATCAGGCTGCGGCTTCCGCATAGGCAGCATTGTACGACTCCCGGTCACGAAGCTCCAATCTGGTCAGGTCTAGTTCTGCTTGGTTCACACCTCGCGGTCGGTGCCTGACTTTCTCTTTGAGAGTCTCATTGAGCTTCTGCTGCAAGTCCTCCTGCAAGGAATCAAACCTTCTTGTATAGTGCTCAAAAGCTGTCACGTCTTTTGGCCCGAGGCGTCCTTCTCCTTCTTCATCGCGGTGAGTGCCATCTTCAGGGCCTGCACTGTAGCATCGTCCTCCATGCGAGGCAAGTAGTCGCGACGCCCGGGCTGTCTATTTTGAGGGTCCCCTTTTTGGGGTTGAAGGAAAAACCTATGGAAAACCACCCTACGAAAAACCAAAGACCTGCAAGAACTTCTCAAGTGGTCAGCCTCGGACCGGCTCGAACCAGGAGTCGCCGGCGATGGCAAGGGCGGCCGCCAGGCTTCGCCCTGAGCGACGTGGTTGTATCGCGAATCAATATTGGGGAGTCCTTGGGCGTGCCTTGAGTGCGACTCGCACAGCCCGCAAGTCTGCCTTGTTCTCTGACCTGCGCACCATTGTGTTCAAAGAAGCTCAAACCATACATCGGCTTAGGGCTCAAACCACTGCCAATGCTCGTCAGCCTCCCATAGCTGCGCAAGCATGCTCATGCAACCACAGTTGCACTCCGCCATGCCTTGCAACTCACCTGCTCCTTCTGTTCTTCCACGTCTGTCTGCACGGTGGCCTCAGCCTCCCATGGATGCACAAGCATGCTCACGCCACCACAGTTGCACTCCGCCATGCCTTGCAACTCACCTGCTCCTTGTGTTCTTCCAAGTCTGTCTGCACGGTGGCCTCAGCCTCCCATGAATGCACAAGCATGCTCACGCCACCACAGTTGCACTCCGCCATGCCTTGCAACTCACCTGCTCCTTGTGTTCTTGCAAGTCTGTCTGCACGGTGGCCTCAGCCTCCCATGGATGCACAAGCATGCTCATGCAACCACAGTTGCACTCCGCCATGCCTTGCAACTCACCTGCTCCTTTTGTTCTTCCACGTCTGTCTGCACGGTGGCCTCAGCCTCCCATGGCTGCACAAGCATGCTCATGCAACCACAGTTGCACTCCGCCATGCCACCTGCTTCTTGTGTTCTTCCACGTCTGTCTGCACGGTGGCCTCAGCCTCCCATGGATGCACAAGCATGCTCATGCAACCACAGTTGCACTCCGCCATGCCTTGCAACTCACCTGCTCCTTGTGTTCTTCCAAGTCTGTCTGCACGGTGGCCTCAGCCTCCCATGGCTGCACAAGCATGCTCATTCAACGACAGTTGCACTCCGCCATGCCTTGCAACTCACCTGCTCCTTTTGTTCTTCCACGTCTGTCTGCACAGTGGCCTCAGCCTCCCATGGCTGGACAAGCATGCTCATGCGACCACAGTTGCACTCCGCCATGCCTTGCAACTCGTCTGCTCCTTGTGTTCTTCCACGTCTGTCTGCACAGTGGCCTCAGCCTCCCACGGCTGCACAAGCATGCTCATGCAGTTGCACTCCGCCATGCCTTGCAACTGACATGCTCCTTGTGTTCTTCCACGTCTGTCTGCACAATGGCATCAGCCTTCCATGGCTGCACAAGCATGCTCATGCAACCACAGTTGCACTCCACCATGCCTTGCACATCACTTGCTCCTTGTGTTCTTCCACGTCTGTCTGCACAGTGGCCTCAGCCTCCCATGGCTGCACCAACAATCCAGTGCAACCACTGTCGCACAAAGCCCTGCTGTGGCTGCACCACTAATTTCGCGCAACCACTGCTGCACGCAGCCGTGCCTCGGGACTCACCTGCTTCTCGTGCTCCTCCCCCTCGGTCTTCGCAGTTGTCTTAGCCTCCCAACGTTGAACCAACAATCCAAAGCAACCACTTTCGCACAAGTCCTGCAGTGGCTGTGCCACCAGTTTCGTACAAGCACTGCAGCACGCAGCCGTGCCTCGAGACTCACCCGCTCCCAGTGCTCTTCCACCTCTGTCTGCGCAGTTGTCTCAGCCTCCCAACGGTACACCAACAATCCAAAGCAACCACTGTCGCACTAGACCCTGCTGCGGCTGCACACAGCCGTGCCTCGGGACCCACCTGCTCCCCGTGTTCTTCCCCCTCTTTAGCCTTAGCCTCCAAGGTTGCACCAACAGTTCAATTCAATACAACCACTGTCGCACAAAGCCCTGCTGTGGCTGCAGCAGTTGCGCTGCACCACTAGTTTCGCGCAACCAAGCTGCACGCAGCCCTGCCTCGGGACTCACCTGCTTCCCGTGCTCTTCCCCCTCGGTCTGCGCAGTTGTCTTAGCCTCCCCACGCTACACCAACAATCCAATGCAACCTGTCGCACAAAGCCCTGCTGTGGCTGCACCACTAATTTCGCGCAACCACTGCTGCACGCAGCCGTGCCTCGGGACTCACCTGCTTCCCGTGCTCCTCCCCCTCGGTCTGCGCAGTTGTCTTAGCCTCCCAACGTTGAACCAATAATCCAAAGCAACCACTTTCGCACAAGTCCTGCTGTGGCTGTGCCACCAGTTTCGTACAAGCACTGCAGCACGCAGCCGTGCCTCGAGACTCACCCGCTCCCAGTGCTCTTCCACCTCTGTCTGCGCAGTTGTCTCAGCCTCCCAACGGTACACCAACAATCCAAAGCAACCACTGTCGCACTAGACCCTGCTGCGGCTGCACACAGCCGTGCCTCGGGACCCACCCGCTCCCCGTGTTCTTCCCCCTCTTTAGCCTTAGCCTCCAAGGTTGCACCAACAGTTCAATTCAATACAACCACTGTCGCACAAAGCCCTGCTGTGGCTGCAGCAGTTGCGCTGCACCACTAGTTTCGCGAACAACTGCTGCACGCAGCCGTGCCTCGGGACTCACCTGCTTCCCGTGCTCTTCCCCCTCGGTTTGCGTAGTTGTCTTAGCCTCCCAACGTTGCACCAACAATCCAAAGCAACCACTGTCGCACAAGGCCCTGCTGTGGCTGCACCACTAGTTTCGCGCAACCCAGCTGCACGCAGCCGTGCCTCGGCACTCACCTGCTTCCCGTGCTCCTCCCCCTCGGTCTGCGCAGTTGTCTTAGCCTCCCAACGTTTCACCAACAATCCAAAGCAACCACTGTCGCACAAGTCCTGCTGTGGCTGTGCCACCAGTTTCGTACAAGCACTGCAGCACGCAGCCGTGCCTCGAGACTCACCCGCTCCCAGTGCTCTTCCACCTCTGTCTGCGCAGTTGTCTCAGCCTCCCAACGGTACACCAACAATCCAAAGCAACCACTGTCGCACTAGACCCTGCTGCGGCTGCACACAGCCGTGCCTCGGGACCCACCTGCTCCCCGTGTTCTTCCCCCTCTTTAGCCTTAGCCTCCAAGGTTGCACCAACAGTTCAATTCAATACAACCACTGTCGCACAAAGCCCTGCTGTGGCTGCAGCAGTTGCGCTGCACCACTAGTTTCGCGAACAACTGCTGCACGCAGCCGTGCCTCGGGACTCACCTGCTTCCCGTGCTCTTCCCCCTCGGTTTGCGTAGTTGTCTTAGCCTCCCAACGTTGCACCAACAATCCAAAGCAACCACTGTCGCACAAGGCCCTGCTGTGGCTGCACCACTAGTTTCGCGCAACCCAGCTGCACGCAGCCGTGCCTCGGCACTCACCTGCTTCCCGTGCTCCTCCCCCTCGGTCTGCGCAGTTGTCTTAGCCTCCCAACGTTTCACCAACAATCCAAAGCAACCACTGTCGCACAAAGCCCTGCTGTGGCTGCAGCAGCTGCACCACTAATTTCGCGCAACCAAGCTGCACGCAGCCGTGCCTCGGGACTCACCTGCTTCCCATGCTCTTCCCCCTCGGTCTGCGCAGTTGTCTTAGCCTCCCAACGTTGCACCAACAAGCCAATGCAGCCACCATTACATGCAGAGGTGCCTTGGAGTCGACCTCCTGACTCTCCTCTACATTTGCCTGCACAACTTTGGCACCATCAGCTTGACATTGAATTGCTGGCCTTGCCTTATCAGGGTCTGCTCTCCAGGCGGGTTTCTCTTTACTGGGACGTCTGCGCGCCGGAGTTTCCATTTCAGGTGGCTCTGCTTCTGCCTCTCTGGGTTTTGCCGCATTGTCCGTCCATGCGTCCATGTATGACTCTGCTGCGGAAGGAGCAATTTGCTTCGGTGCGTCAGAACTGCGCTTCGCATCCTCGCTCCTTAGGTCACTCGAGTCCTCGCCCAAAGCCGTCCCTTCACTCGGAGCGTCAGGCCCTGCCACCGATGTCTCAGTCCGCTCATTTTCAGTTTCAACCGTCTCTTCGCCTGTCTGGCCAGGCGAACTTGTGCTCTGGTCCACCCCTTCTGGCAAGCTGTCTGCCGGCAAGTGCACGGTCAACATCTGTCCTGCCACGCAACCATCAGGCACCACCACTTCCAAGTCAGAGCCATCAACCTGCACTGTTAGCACATCTCCGGCAAAAGTGCCATCTGGAACGATGATCTCCACCACAGATTCGAACTCCTTTCTCTCTCTTTGGCAGGGCTCCTGCAAACCACCAAGCTCCGGTGCAAAAAGAAGCACTGCGGGCTCTTCTTCTGTGAAGCTCACTTGTCGGCGTGGCTTCTTACTCCGAAGATTTTGCTCAGTTGCTGCGGGTTCCCCTGTGAGCTCTTCGCCCAAGTAAATCCACGGCACGTCCACTGTCAAGCTGTCCCCTGGTTTGCTTCCAGCTGGGACGACTACCTCAACCTCGTACTCTCCGATCTCAGCCAAAAACATGTCGCCTGCTTCCAGCCCTTCGGGTATGGACACTTCCAGGGCCACCAAATCCTCATCTTGAGCCGCAAGGGTGACAAACTTCTCCTCGTCTTCATCGACAGCCTCGACCTCAAGGCGAGAAAGTCTTGCAAGACATGCACTCGCAGGCCGTCCAGAACTTCAACCCGCCAACCGGAACCAGAGTCCGGTCGGACAGGGGCCCTCTGGTTGTAAGCAAGCACTGGAGAATGAGGTGCAGCCAGCGTGACTGCAATGAGACACGATTCACAATTTTGTTTTCAGACCCGAATGTCCAAATAGAAGTGACGAACCATTCATTATTTTGCAGGGCATAGCGCAATCACATGCTGCTTCGGCCCCCCGGAGTAGTGGTTCTACAAGACAATTACATCTGCATAGACCCAAGTGGCAAGAATGGGATTTGAGCATCGAAAGCAAAGGTGCTTCGCAAACATGACTTCTGAACTACATACGCAGCACACAAAAACTATCTTTCTGCTTGCACCCTGCTCTGCAGCATGCCGCATGTGCAACAGCCATCTTCCACATGTTGCGGCACCTCCTTCTTTACTCGAAGCTACACCCAATATAGGTTTCACATCTGAAGACCGAAAGAACGTTGAAGGCAAAGATACCGCAGTTTGGAAGACAGCCAAAGTCAATGCAAACATAATACAAACATGACATTTACCAACGTAGAGCCGCAGGCTCAAAAGCTCAACTGGCGAGTTGACTATCACCCCCAATAGCATATGAAAACAAATCGTGAATCATGATCTTGCCTTGTCAGCGGCATCGGGCCTCAGTGCGCAAGCAAACCCTTGTCTGCTTTTTTAGCCTGGAGGGTGGACTGGTGACCTACAACTCAAGTGCGAAGTTCAAAGGCCAAAAGAAACAGCTCATGGCTTTTTGCAATGCCGTGACGGTCTCAGTCACTCAGTCCTGGTGACCGCAGCTTGCTGCAGGTCACCGCAAAAGACAGGGTGGGACAGGCAGCTTACGTCGAATGGCGGAAGTGAGGGACCGCGTTGTCGTAGAAAATTCCGCACATCCCACAGACCTTCACCTCCTTAGGCCCACCTTCGCAGCCCGTCCCCTCCTGCGGCTGACGGTCAGTTCCACACCATTTCTCATCCTCATCCCTCCTCAGGAGGCGTATCTTTCCATCTTCACCCCAGGAAGAACCCCAGGAATTTTGGATCAGGAAATAGCCTGCTTTCAAAGACTTGTCCACACCGTAGCCGATAAGGGTCACAGCATGGTTGATGACGGCATCCTTGTCGCAGGAGTCAAAAATTCCTGACTCGTATGCGCTCCACTTGCTGGCATCCACTGAAACTGCCACAGGACCACGCTCTACGATGGCCCGCAGCAATGGGCCCTGGGCGTTCTCCTGCAAGCGCTCCCATCCGATCATGTACTTCATGCCCGGTGAATCGGAGCTGGCAGCATGGAATCCCACAGCTGCTACATCCAGGTCGGTGTCGCCTGCGAGCCGCTGCAGCAGAGATGCCCCGGCGCAAGTGCCGTCAGTTCCCTCATAGGGCACCTCACTGGCGGTTTGCACAGGATGCTCCACGGCGTATTGGAAGGCAAGCTCCACAGTGGCGCCGCTGCATTTCCCTGATCCCCCACACTTCTTGACGTTGGGGACGCAGGACACCAGCTCCTGAGTGGAGAAGCTCCGCTGAGCGGACTTGTAGATTTCCGCATGGGCGTCCAAAACCGTGGCTGCGGTCACTGCCCAGCAGGAGCCACAGCTCCCCTGGTCTCGCACATCGGCCAGCGCATGCAGACTGGTCCAGTTCAGGAATTCCTGGCAAGGAACCTTCAAACTCAAAACACATCTGCACATCCTTTCAAAAATTCAGAGCACAAAACTAAACTTGATCACACCTTGCCCACATCAGTTCTCTCGATCCTTCTCGAGTCCCCGTCCTCCGGGCTGTCGTCCAGGGAATCTGCGCTCAACTGGGCCAGCGAGGATCTCAGGTGCTTTGCCTTCCGGGTTGCAAAATGTGTGACACAACAGCCCGACCTGGTCCCCTTTGAAAGGTCGTTGGAACATGTTCAGACAGGGGGTTGACCAAGCCCTGCCTTCCGCGATCCACCGAACCATCCCCTCAGAGACTCGAGCTCCTCCTCTGTCCGATCGGCTAGGGGGCCTGTGCCAGCAGTCCACAAGCGGCCTGGACGGCTGTTCCACCGCTCAGCCTCCACTGCCGCTTTGCTAAAGAGAGCCAGGCGCTTGTTGTACTCCACGCTGCCCTTCTCGTATGCCTTGGCATACTTTTGCTGGTACGCCTCGAAGTTCGTGTGAAGCAGCGTCTCCTGGTGTGGCCGCACCTCCACTCCGAAGACTTGCGCAACCAGAACAATATGCAAGGAGAACATCGGATAAGTGGCAGGCCCAGAGAGGTTCGGGGGCTGCCGAGTACAGAATTCGATCCCAGAAGCGTCCGAAGACGCAAAACCGTATCTCTTGAGCTGCTGGTCTGAGCCCAAGAACTGCAGAATGCAACGGTCTGTATCATTGAAGTCAAGCTTGGGGTCAGTGAGTGGTCCATGCCCAGGTTAAGCTCAAACACTTGGAGAGTGCAAATGACCTGGCAAATGCTATCCATCAAGCGGATGCAGCTCTGAGCCGCCCAACGAAAACTCATCCATCCTCGCCCCTGCAAAGTCACAAGCTGCATGCGGGGTGATGCTTGCTTTCATTGATAAAAGCACGGCCGGGCACGGCGCTGGCAAGATCAATGTAAAGACAGGTGAGCTCGTGTCTGATCTCACTTGAAGAATAATTGATCAAACCGGTGACTCGGGCTAGAATACACAAAGCCAAATTAGCCATGGTCAAAAACTTCTGGGTAATGTTCTCTTGACAGAAATCATTACAGTGGTTCTTTAGCATCCTTACTACTACCATCCCTGTATCCCCAAGTAAAGGGGTCTTCCGTCCATGGCACAAATGAATGTGGGTCTGTGTCAAAACAGGATACCTCCCCAAAATGACGGTTCTGCGTTGGTGTCCCAATCAAAACCATCCTGAGGGTACCCTCAAACAAGCACCCATCTCTGCGAGGACAAACGCCTCGGGGAGCAACTCGCTCGCCGCATGGCGGACGAATGGCGGGCGGCGCACGATATCCGATTCGAGTAAGCATGACTCTATGACTGTATGACTGTACGACTATGACTGTGCATGTCGTCTGTGTCATCAATGCGATAGGGCCTTGCACATGTGGCGACTTCGCTGTCTTACTTGCAAACTGAAACGCTGGTCACCTGCCCTGCAAGCAAGTCACGGCAAAAGAACAGCTTTCGTTGTGCATGCCTTGACCACGAGCAAGGCAGGGGCGGACACTCCGGTTGGGCTTGGAGCAAAACGCACTCGAATCTTGGAGTCGGATGTCGCCGAAGCCTGCCAGTCTCAAGTCAGCGTGGACGCCAAGGCAAGTGCCGAATTTCGGGTCCTGTCTTGCCGTGGGCGATGCTCGAGCTCTCCCTGATGTGACATGCCACTCTCCAACGTGTGTCGCGTCCATCGCGTCTGGCAATCCAGCCTGGCAGTCCAGCATGCCACCGCAGGCCCAAGTGGCGCTGCGGATGAGCAGGCCTCACGACCACCGAGGCAAGTACAAATGGGTGTGCGTCAAAATTAAACCACTAGGGGACCGCAGGTTTTACTCCATGTTTGCGTGTACCAGGGGTCCATTTTGGGTACCTATTTTTGACCCACAGCCAAATTGCCGTCAATGGCTCACGCCTGCTTTTTCTCGCGAGCGCCGAAAAGCCGGCGAGCACAGCGGCTGCCGCTGTGGCTCGTCTCGAGCTCAGTGACTCGGACCTCGGTCTTTGCCGTTCCGCCGGCCCGCAGTCGCAGAAACATCTCTGAGACACTGGCTCAAGACCATACCTCGCCCCCTTCGCTGTGAGCTGAACCTCATGGAACTGGGCAGCTGACCAACTGAATTTGATTCAACCTCTCAGGCTCCCGCCGGTGTTTCCCTGCCAAGGCTGAGATGTGAGAATCTGTGAGGACCAACCATCTTGTGGAGTCGACAAATTGCCTAAGGCCCGCCTTGTCGCTGGTGCGTATGGTGGAGGCGCTCCACCCAAAAAGGCAAGCATGTGCCTGCAGGTAGTTGCAGGGATTGATTGCATATATCCAAAGCACAAGGCTTGTGCCTGGCGAAGTTGGCGAACGCCACACCCGGACCCAAGCTGTGTTGAAAAACGCTGCAAGACGAAGCACGTCAACCAACAAGCTTCGTGCGCGAGAAAGCTCGGGCATCTCAACATGTACCATGAGCATCTCCGGCAATGCGGCATTTTGTTTCTGTAAGGCTCGAGGCCTGAGCAAACCAAGATACTGTGTCACAGAAAGGCCGCCAGTCGGGCGCGTTTGCCACGACAAGAAGCTCGCCGCCAGTACGAAAAATGCTTTGCTACACAGACGCCCAAAAATAACACGGCAAAAATATATCTCGAGCTAGGGCCCGGAACTTGCTTATCATCTTTTCCCAAGGGGCATCAAAAGATGAAACAATTATCAAAGTCAGAAGACACCTTCTGGTCAGCATAGTGAATTAACCAAAAAACACGCATCACGCATCATCATCCCGTCACCTGGCAGAATGCTCGAAGGAAATCAAAGCGCAGGTCTGTGACCTCCCCGATCCAGCCTTGCCTTCACGCCAACTCGCTTCATCACTGCCAATGCCTGTTCAGGAGAATGCCAGTCAAACATCGGAGATACGCAATGTCGAAATCCCGGCCTTTTGGACTATGTTCTTCGCATTCAGATGTGCATCATCCTCAACAGGTGCTCGTGTCTGCCAGAAGAGTGCACCAAGTCATTGAGGCAAGGGCATACTGAAGCTCAGGGGTGTTGTGATCGATCCACCGGTCCTTACACTCAGCTTGAGCACTCCATTCAGCTTACATCTTTTGGCTGAGGCCAGCACCGGCAGCACCATGCTTCGCAGGGCCACAGGCGTCCCCAGGCCGTCAAGATAGCCACCGTCTAGCAGTACCTGTCCAATGACCCGCTTGAGGGTGTCAGGGTCAAGCCAGTGGCCTGCTGCACTTGCGCCGAAAATCCTCCAATTGCATTCTCCTGCGGACATAGTATGGAACAAAAGCTTCTTCTGAATTCCGGGTAGACGACCAATCATACAATCAAGCAACCCACAGAAGAGTCAGCCAACCACGTGTCCTCAATTGTGATGACTGCTTTGTGGTCGGCTGCCAACCAGCCCACGAGCTTCTTGTCGAGAGGTTTGACCCAACCTCATCACAGCTCATGACCCAAAAAGACTGGATGCCAAGGGTAAGCCGTCCACGAGCATCCGCGACAGTTGCAGAAATGCCGTGCTTTTCCTCCAGCTCTTCTGCTGCCTGCCCCCAAGTCCCGCTGTCCCAAGCAGAAAACAAGCTCTCCGAGGCCTTCAAAGCCTCACGCAAACGACCCCCAACGGACAAGATGGCGAGGGTGCCATCTCGGCCCTCGCGGGCGATGCGCCTCGAGTACAGTGCCCCAAATCACAACCCTTCGCAAAATGGGAGAAGCAAAACCTCAGAATTAAAAAAACAAAAACTCGGAGTCTTGCTGTTGAACCCACTCCGAAAATTCCAACACGGGTGGCCTATCCGAGGGCCTGGCCCTTTGCCAGGCTCCAGGAATCGTGGCTCCGAGGGCATCTCCAGGTCACCGTAGGCGCTGCCGCGCGGAAACCTTGCGGCGCTGCTTTCTGAAGCTGAAAACGGGTGTCCCCTTTTGGTTGAGGATACCACTTTTGAAGTGGTTTTCAAGAGAAACCCAAGGGAAGCCGAAATCCTTGGGGGGTCCCCAAAAAACACACACACACACACACACATCCGGGGGCACCGGAGAGCAGTCGGCGCATCATCGATCTGTGCCAAAGTGTGGACCATGTGAATGAGCTCCGCCTTTGCTGGCACAAGCTCCACTTGAAAGCTCGGCAAAACAGGGCCTCGTCGGCAGAAGCTGCGATCATCATCTCAGGTATGCAGCCTTTGGACACCGACCCCCCCGAAGACTTTTGTTGCTTGCTTTCGGTGAGGGCCCTACCAATGAACGACAAGTCAAAAGCTCCGCAGTGTGTTGCTCCATCCTGCAAGGCAATGTTCCCATCATGTGATGTCTACTTGGAGCTGTCTTGAACTCCGATTGCGGTCCGCCCCAACAAGGCCAGCTCGATCAAGGATGAAGCGCACTGGCAGCTTTTGAAGGGCCACATCCTGCGAGGCACAGGTCAACATTCCCGAACACAAATGGGGCTGGAAATGCTAGGGACCCGGCATGAACAAGCTGATCGTAGCCCCGTTGCAAGAACCTGACAACGGTTGAGCTGTTGCTTCCTGCGCAGCGTTTCCGCCACATCTCTCACATGTCGGATGCAATCAAAGCAAGTGTGTTGGGAAGAAGAACACGACTAGACCAAAAGATGGTTGAAACAGGCCAGCGCTGCGTGGAGTAGATGGCACAGAACGGCTTGAGACCTCGAAAAAGCCATACATAACGCGAGCAAATCATAGCAGTGCTGACCTCCAGCAGCGAGCCCAGCAGCAAATGTGACTGCCTCATCTCCAGCTTCGCAGCGCATCAGGACCCCTAATGTTGGTTTGCTCTTTGGCTTCCCTTTACACTCCCACAAAGAATGCCCTCAAAAGACACCAACGGCGCTTAGACAGCGGCATGCTGCTCCGCGATGCCCACATCGAAGGTGCGATCCTCAAGCCGCATCCGTATGCGTCGCCGCGAGCGCCCGGAGCTGAGCCGCCCACGGGGCCGAAGCGCTTCTCAAAGATTCCGATGCCAGTGCCACCCGGCCTCCATGCGTATCAGGTACACCCAAAAAAGGCCACGGTTGTCCTCTTGGTTTCCCTTTAAACCAACCCCTCAAACCCGCACACTTTTCAAACACGAGCGCCAGGCATTGCGGCCGTGATAGCCACAACCTTCTCATCACGCCTCAACCGCTTTGTTCAAAATGCACTGTATGTGGACCCTGTTTGATGGCCGCTTTTCGAAGGATGACTCGGCACCCAATCCGATGCCCGTTCCACAAGAGAGAGAGAGAGAGAGAGACACACACAAACAGACACAGACACAGACACTGACACAAACACAAATAGACACAGACACTGACACAAACACAAATAGACACAGACACTGACACAGACACAAACACAGACACAGACACTGACACACACACACACACACACACACAGACACTGACACACACACACACACACCCACCCAGACCTGGAGCTTCCGCTCAGAGGGTTGCAGGGTAGAGGAAAGATGGAAGGTAGCTGCGATGCGGTTTCGCTGCAAGACAGCCGGCCCTAGAAGGATTTCACGACCGGTGCCCAGAAGCGTGCATGAATTGCAGCGTAGACTTCGAGTTTTGGCCCGAGAGACTGTCCGTGCAAAAGGCACGTCAAGCTGAGAAAATGATCTTGAGCGAACCATCGCAATGTCGGGCAGCCGTGTGCAAGCGCACAGGAGACTGTCCCACAAACCTTCTCCAGCTATGGAACTTCCTATCGGGTCTTGTGGAAGAGAAGCTGCTGGAAGAGGACTGGTACAGTATGCACGTGGAACCGGAAGACCGAGTGATAGCTGCGCCAATGCTTAAACAGCACTCCGTCGTACACAACACGTGCTTCGACTCGAGCTATGTTTCGGAGCATGGTTCGGGGTACGGTTCAAGGGTCTGTTTCGGGGATCTGATTCACTCAGCCCACGTTGACCACACTATCGTCACAAAAAAGCATAGACCCATCTTGGCCACTTCGAGCACAGGCAGGTGGTGTGCCGGAACAACTGAGGCCCGCACTCACCCTCTCGCACCAGTTGATCGCCAAAGACTTTTGTCAGCGGGGGCGGCTTCGGCTTCTGCGGCACGTCTTCCGGCTTCTTCGGAACCTCGGCTAGCCATGGCAAATGGGCGTGGCTCAAAATTAAGCAGGAGGGGTTACGCAGGTTTTGGTCCATATTTCCACTTACCAGGGTTCCATTTTGGGTAAGGGCTTTTTGAGCCATAGCCAAATGAGCTCGCGATTTCTTGAATAGGCATCCCGGCATTGAACTTTGGCATCACAGCGTGCAACTTGTCGCTAGCCTTGGGCCAGGCAAGGGGACACGCCCCAGCACTCCAATAAGCAATGGCCTGCTGCGCCGGTTCGTAGCCATAGCCCTTCTTCGTCCTTGCAGGGCTGGCAAGGCAGACGTGTCCACAGTACAAGCACCGGTCTTGATGTGCAGGAACACGGGCTTCTGCAGAAGGCCACTTTCATGATCGTTGCGGATGTTCTCCAGAACCTGCTGTATCAAAACAGCCGCCAAACCTGCATTCAAGTCAACCCCACCTGAACCAATGTTTCCATGTCGTGACCATCGATCGGGCCGACCTCAGTCGAATCTCAATTGAATCTCGGCTGAGATTCGAAAGCCATGAGGCCAGGGCGTAGTAAAATCCCAGCTGTTCAAACAGCTCGCCCTGGCCTGGACACGGAAACTGGGCGAGGGGTGAACAAAGGGCATCATTCGCATCATTCCGGGAGGGAAGGCGCACTTCCAGAGCCGCTTCCCTGGAAGGGCACAGTCTTTACAAAGTCGCGGGTGTACCTCGAAAGCCAAGAGTCCTTTGGGCGTGCCCAAAATATCAGGTTGGGCACTCGTCGAGCTTGGCCGCCGCTTTAGACAGCTGGTCAGGAAGGAGAGACTTCGTGGCATTCTTCGCAAGCCTCAGGCGACTCAAGATCCTCAATTCTAAGTGGGGACCCTTTGGTGGACATCAATTACATGTGGACTGTCCGCCGACCATCTCGGAGGGTGTTCTCAACTAAGCGTCATAGCTACTTCATGTGTTTCCTCGAAGGCTCATCAAACATCAGCTGGGCCAGTAGCTGTCTTGCGCTCTGGAAGGCTGAAGACGTCTCCAGCTTTGCAATGTTGCCCTGGATGTTCAGGCCTGTCAAAGGCAGGCGATGCCAAGCTGGGAATGTCCTGTCTCATGTTGTTGTTCTTGTGAATCCTGTGATCAAGAAGCACGCTCGAAGCTGCTATCGGAACCTCGTGTCTCTGTGGTAGTCGTGCCAGCAAGAGTCTCGGAAAGCGCTCCAACAGGCTGCTGCACCTCCGTGTCAGGGCAACCCGGGCAACCGATGTGCCCTTCTTGTGCCCTTCTTGCGATCTTCTCATGCCCTTCTCGTCTATGCCACACGCTGCTGTCTGCCACGCCTTGTTGTAGAACGTTGGCCTCAGATTCCCCGAGTCCGTCATGAAGCCGCTGGCGCCATGCAGTGAGAGCAAGGTACTTGTTCTGGGGAGTTGGCAAGGAGACCTGCCCGTTGTCGTTAAGGACAACGACCTCAGGGTGTTGCTAAACCCATAAATCATCAGCCATAAGAACCCGAGAACGACGCCATCTTCGAGCCCATGCCGCCAGCCTGAATCAGAGATACTTTCGCTCCACGATCCAAAACTTTCACTCGGAGCGACTCGGCGCGTGGCATGGTTCATGGCTTCCCAAGCCATGCCACCAGTGATGGCACCATCCCCAATGACCGCAATGCTGTGACCCGACCTCTGGTCACTCTGGTCACAAGGTCTCACGCTCCTGCCAAAGTTTGCCTCGCCTGCCGAGCCGATCTTTGGCCGTCTGAAAGCCAACGGCGGCACCTTCCAAAAACAATGGAAACAATGGCAGTTTTCAAACAAAGGATAGTTCAAGGACTTTGCCAAGCTGCTAATTGAGGTGGAGGAGTGTCCAGCACCAAATGCATCATAGACAGACCTCAGTTCAACGTAAAGCCATTCCAAGTGCCATTGAACACACGAATCGAGTTTCGCTTTTACTGGGCGCTGTGCTCCTTTCGCTTCGCAAAGCCGGACAGACCGCCTCCCTGACCTTGCAAGTCGCAAGCTGATGGCATGCATCGCTAGGCGTAGGCGTGGAACGCAGCGTGTAGATGCGTGATCGCCTGCCAGTCAACACCTCGGGCCACTGGAAACAAACGGAAACTAGCGAATGATGACAAATGGGAGTGTCTTCACGTAGGGTACCCTCAAAAAGTGATTGGCTTTCTTCGGGCTTTCCTTTCAAACTCTCCCAAAAGGGATTGATTTATCCTCTAAAAAGGACACGCCCTCCATGTGATATCCCCACCTTGTGCGGTTGGCATTGATGAGCCACATCCCAGCCTCAGAGCCAGAGATTCGGCAGCCGTATGAGCCACAGTCCAATTTTCATTGCATCCCCCTATGACATGAGACTTTCGTGAACAACCCAAAAGTCTTTCACATGACATGAGACTTGCAAGTGAACAACATCCTCATTCCTACATGGATTTGTTTGTGCGTGCGCAGTGTAGCCAATGCCACGTACCGTGCACGACGACTTCTATTGACCATTGCTCATGTCCCGGACGCAGAACATCAGGCGCGTTCAGCCCTGTGCAGATCTCATCTCGCGGCGTGTCGTAGGTGTGATGCAAGGCTACCGTCAGCTCCACCACACCCAGCCCTGCACCTTGAAAGATGCATGCAGAAATACGTGTTGTCGAAGGCTAGAAGTTATGAACCTCTACTCACTTGCCCAAAGGACCTGGAAAGACAAGGTTAACCTTGTGCGACCTTGACAAAAAAAAAATGACCAAAACTTCGAAACCAGAAGGTCACAGGTCGGCTCTAGGCAACTGAGTCTGTATCAACCCCTAGTATGAATCCCAAGTTTACTGAGTAAGTCGCCGTCCATTCGGGCTCTATTCTGGGTGGCAACCACCAAATCCAAAGAGGCCATGATTCACGGGGTTTGTGCTTCTTGAGGATGCCCTTTTTCTTTGGCTTTACAAAGAAGCCCAAAGGAAAGCCACAATTTTGGGTGTCCTCTAATAAGATACATACCCATGTGTGGATACAATCAGCCTTTGATTCCGATGGCACCAAGGGTGTGACCCAAATGTCCGCCGGTGACAGATACGGCATCGAGCACCTTCCGGAAACAAAAGGGAAAAAACGTTTACTTGTGAACAGCAATGGACGATCCAGCTGGAGCCTCCACGATGTTTGAAGACTGGGATCGCTACAAACTACCCCAGAAAATGGGTACATTGCCTTGTGTTCAAAGGGTCATGACTCCAAATACTCTGAGCCAAAGAAACGCCCGCCTGCCAACGAACCTCGTCTGCGAGCTGCTTCAGCTCCGGCACAGACATGCTCCGAATCCTCGGCATACCCATACTCGTCGCCTCCAAAATGGGCTCGGTCGCTGGCCGCTGGGTGCCCTCATCGCCAAGCGAGTCCAACCTTGGCACCAAAATGATGCCCTCGTGAACAAAGGATGGAGTTGAGCGCCCTGCAGCGGGGTGGGCTTTGGGGGGAAATGGCCTTTCTTCGGCTCCTCTGCTTTTGGAGCAGCCTCGCGTCGCCAGTGCTTGTGGGCAAGCTACAGAACGTCAAGCATCAAGCCAGCCTTTTTCGCCCCAACTCCCAAGGTTCCCGAACGTGGTGTCCCGCACATCCGGCCTCGGAAACGGGTACGCCTTCTCAGCCTTCTGACCATCAGAAGGATTTCTCAAGGCCGGGACAAAACAAAGAGTCCTCTGCAAAGACATTCCCACACTCTGAGCAGACCTTGGCTTGGCACCCAACTTGGCCGCTTGGCTCTGGGTGCACCTTGCCTTCGCTGCTCCCTTCAGGGTGTCGTTGGCGAGGTTGGTTTGAGCTGAAGCCATCGCGAGGCGATGGCGCCGGCACTCCCTGGCGGACCAAGAGATCTCTGCCCTTCCGCAGCTTAGGATGGCAGTGGCGATGAAGGGATTTCAGCTTGGGAAAACTAGGAGCGCGAGGCTGTGAGATTCAAACACGTGTTGGCATCATGATCGGTGATGAAGTTCCACTAGTTGAACCCCCCGCCCCCCGAAAATTGCAACAAAAATAGTTCTGCACAAGGCGCGATTGTAATCCCAACGTTTACCCTTGAAGCATCAATGCACCTGTGAAATACTCGTTTGCTGAAAACAAATAGAATGAAAGCTACAAACGTAGCATCCACTTCCAACAGAAACCGTACACAAACCATGCTTAGCTGAGGACAATGTGCTCTTGGGTCAGCATCCAATGGCAAAAGAACAGGTCTCTAGCTTGGACCATTGTTTGTATTTTGAGGGCACCCTTTTCAGATTGGTTTTATGGGAAACCGGCAAGGAACCAGCAAAAACACCATACATACGTCCTTTTTGTACATACCCAGACGGGGCCAGCAGGGCAAAGAAGGCACAAAGGGGCACAGGAGGAAGTTAGGCGCCTTCGTCGTCGGGAAGCCACAGCCAGGCCCGCAGGGATCAGCGCTACTGGCAACGGCTCGTAGAGTGAGAGCCACTCGTCTCAGTAAACGAGTCCCAGGCAGCCCACGCTGATCTTGTGATCAAAATCCGGCTCCGTCGCCCTGCGTCGACATCAATGGAGCCATAAGATTGTGATGAGACATGCAGCTGGCCTCATGCCGGGCCTAGCCCTGACGGCTGGGGCCCATTTGGAAAACTCCCTGCGAGGCCGATGTGTATGCAGTTCTGACCGAGCTGAGCAGATTTCCGCCTCGTTGGCCTGGTGGCCAGGGTTAAAGGTACCTCAGAGGACCGCCCCCTTTCCCACCAACCTGCAACTGTCCTTGTCAGGGCCTGCTCTAGAACCGCAGACATAACCTGTCATGTCAGCAGCCGCACGCGAATGCCTCCAACTTTGACTCTCCAGGCCTGCAGAATCTATGGTGATGTGCAAGGACTGCTGCTAGATCCGAGCAGGAACTGTATCACAAGAAGACAACTTTTGAAACCTGCACTCATGAGCAACTGGTAAAGCATCTCAACAGCAGGGTGACGACCCTTGGGCATTGCTGTTAAAATTGGGTCCGTATACCGGTCGTTACCAACCCATCAGACTGCAGTTCAGTTCAAAACCGAAGCTTTCTGGGTGCCGCGTAAGCCGCCTAGCCAAGAGTTCGCCTCAAAATGGACTCCCAATCTGGGTGATTTCCTCCCTTTCACCCCCAATGATGGCCTGCCCGTGAATGGACCCCAACAACTCACGGCGCGGTGCGCGCCGCCCTTTCGGCTTTAGCCATCTGCTCTCTGGAGCCACTGGTCCACAACCTCGGAGTTGGTGGTCAATCCGCATGAGGCTCAACATCTTGGCATGTTCAAATGCCTCTCTTGGGCTGTCATTGAATGTCCAAAATATATGAATGTCCAGTTCATATCCATTCCTGTTTGATGTTTAAAAAAATGTGCTGTTTTGTTGTTCTTTATATATATATATATATAGAGATATATACTACCATGTTTGATTCCCCTTGTTTTATCTGTTTGCCATGCTTCTGGCATTCTTTCAGTTTCCTGCTTGTCTCCTTGGAGAACTCGGTTCTTCGGGTTCTCATTCTTACATCGACATACAACACACACTCCGCAGCTCCACAAAGGCCGTTGCAAACTGCACCTCCGATGTGGCGAGCTCGTGAGGCAAAGGGGAAGAGGATGCCAACGCGCCTCAGTTTGGCCGATTCAGCCGGGAGGTTTCTGCAAAGGATTCGGACACGCCAGAGGAAGCCAACCACTTTGGGGAGCTAGTTTCAGAACCAACAAAGCAGCAGGTGAGGCTCCTGCGACGCTGCACGCCAAGCTCGTCCTGAGAAGCGGCAAGACTTCAAGCCGCTCCCTAATTCGCCCGTTCGCCTCAACCGCCTCAAGAGATGAGTCGGAATCCCCCGGCTTCGGAGTCAGCACCAGGATGCCATTCCTTGCGAGTGCCAGGTGTTGTGTGCTCTGAAAAACATGCGTGGCCTCAACGCGTGGTCTCGAACTTCAGCCGCCAAAGAGGCTGCCTTGGGAAACTTGCGGCTTGCCCAGTCGCCATGGGCACTCTCAAACCGTTGCCGTGGAAAGCAAACTCCGGCACTCAGATTGCTTCAGGCCCAAACAAAAAGAAGCCTAAAGGTTCTCCCGCCAGATGAACAAGAAAACTTCAAGGTGGGGACTAAGCGCTCCACAGACTCGATGCCCGGGTCCAGGAAGCCGTTGCTCGTCGCAGCGTCAGTCTGAGCATAGGGCCGGGGCCTGCGAATGCGGACGAGTTCACTGGTGCATGATCAGGGTTCCCATTTTTTGATTGCTCCAAGATAGACTCAAACAGGGGGTTCCTCTTGGGAAATCAATCCCTGGGTTTAGGTCTAGCTTGGGGTCACAGAATGGAACCCTGGTGCTGATGGCCTCTGGAAGAACCACGCCGCCAGCTCTAGGAGACGCTCCTCTCGTTTGCCAATCTGGTCTCTCTTCTCGGAAATTCCGATATGGAAACATATGGCCATGGGTCAAAACCCCGTACCCCCAGTGCACATCCCAATCCTCCCAAAATGGTACCATTGGTATTGAACCATAGCCATGAACAATTTGCTCCCCAGCAGGGGCTTTTGTTCCATCAAGGCGATCCAGCCTCGCCCTCAGCTCCATGAGGCAAGTTCTGCCGAATGTTGGAGCGCCTCCGGTATTGAATTTGGAAGGCTGGGGTCAAGAAAGTGGCACAGCAGGTCCTCCCTCTTCCCTTAGGGGCTCCAAAACTTGACCCAACTCATGTCACCTTCGATTTGAGGCATCTGCGAGAAATGAGAGCGCCGGTACAGACGCCCCAGCCGGGAGTCGGATTGTAAGAAGGCCTCGGAGCGCGTTTGGACACATGGACTGGGCTGATGCGATCGTGACGATGCAGTCGGACCTGTTCAAGCTCATATTTTTGTTCGTTAACGAGCGGAAGTCTCATGCCCCGATGAAACTGGCTTCGCGTCCGCATGTGAGACACAGGGTCCACATTTGTTGCCTCCCCCCACCCAATGAAAGTGGACTCCGCTGAGCCAGTTCCAAATGGTATTTTGGTGCTCTTGCGCCAAATGTGGTCCCTTCTACGGAGATGACTCTAAACCAATGCTCATGTGGGTGTTTCTCAAAATAGGGGTAATAAGAATCCCCAAAACACTGGGGTTGTTTTCCTGTAGCCAATAAAGGGTCGCACTCTTCTGCAAAAGGAGTCCCCTTAAAACCCCCCCCCCATTCTGAGAAACCACAACATGTCACCGCCCGGCTGCGTCAGACACCTGCGGGCGTGCGTTTTGAAGGGTAGCCCTTTTGGGCACGAAAAAGGAAGCCAAAGCAAAACCAGGTCAAAACCGCAAGGAACTTTAGTCCTTGGTT